GGGGGGGTGGGGGGTGGGGGGGTGGGTAGGGAATACAGGTGGGAATACAGGCGGGAGAGGAGAGAACTGGGTATGAGAGCTGAAAGAAGAAAACACCGATTTACATTTAAGGCAGGCTGTCGGAACAACACCATTATCCATTCAGCTGAAAGAGTAAAAGCCCGAGGGTGTGCAGTAATCTATTTAAAGTCGTGAAAGATAACAACTGCCAACCCAGAGTACTGCACCCAGCAAATCTATCTGTCATAATGGAAGAAAAGTGAAAAACTTTCCAGGGTAAAAATAGACTAAAGGAATGTGTGAGCACCGAGCCAGCTCTATGGAAGATGCCTGACGGCACCCTTCAGAATGAAGAGGGGAAAAAAAAACAGTCCACGGTGCCCAGGAAAAATAAAACAAGCTAGAATAATATTTAAGAAAGGGAGAAAGGGGAAAAAAACACAACAGAATAGCAGGAATTAACACATACATTTTAATAATAACTCTGAATGTCATTGGTCTCAATTCTGCCCTCAAAGGCACAGGCTAGTAAATTGGAGCAAACATCTGGAAACATCTCTTTGTTGCTACCAAGAAATTCCTCACCACAAAACACAGGCGCAACCTTAGAGTGAAACAATGTAGAAGTATTTCAGGGGAGTGAGATGGCTCTGTGGGTAACAGCCTTTACCTCCTGAGTGCTGGAATTAAAGGTATGTGCCACCACGGATGGGCCTAACACTGCATTCTTACCAGTGTCGGAATTAAGTGGCACCATTGATCACATGGGCCTAACAGACATTTGCAGAACATTCTGTGCACACACAGCAAAACACCCATTCTTCTCAGCAGCCTGGGGAGCTGTCCCTGAAACAGACCAGAAGCCTGCCCAAGACCCACCTCCTAGGTGAGTCTGGATGTCATCAGTGAACACTAACCATCACACAGAGCATCTGAGTTGGTGGTGAGCCTAAATTGTCTCCTAGCCTGGTCTACAGAGCTAGTTCCAGGATAGGCTCAAAAGCCACAGAGAAATCCTGTCTCAAAAAACAAAAAACAAAAACAAAAACAAAAAAGAATT